CTATGTAACTATAGACTTGATGTTGTTGAGATCAGGGCTCTGTGGGGCTCATGGTTCCTGGTTCTTCTTGTCACTGAAGGCAGCTCTGTATGACTCTGGATCTATGTACTGGTAGTATTGTGTGATGAATAAACATCTAAAGTGGGACTCACCTGGTTAAATAAAGGTTAAATAAAAAAAAATAAAATAAAGTGGCCAAAGCCTTTGCACAGTGGTGATCATTTCAACATTTCACACAAACAAAGGACCTGTTTGTATTTTACAATTTTCTTTGTTTTATAATAATACTTATTCCACTACTACTACTAATAAATGTAATAATAAATGATAACAACAACTGTAATAATAATAATAACAACAATAACAATAATAATAATAATAATAATAATAAATGGACATTTTACAAGCAAGAGTTTTTTTGTTTTCCAGTCCAGTGGTGCTGCAACTTTAAAAATTTCAAAATCCTCTGTAGTCACCCTATAGCCAGAAAATATAAATATAAATAATATAATAAATAATAAGGCTTCCCCAGGCATTTAGTCTGACCACAAATGCCCCGTCACTGCTTTGCCTGAACAGAGTTCATCGCTCCGATATTATCCGATATTCTTTTTATTTTTTTTATTTTACAGAACCAGGCCTGTCTACAAATACCAACTACTTTTTCCAGAGTACACGCAGCATGCACAGTTTGTGGACCTTGTAGAGGTATTCAGTGAATTTAACCAAAAGTGTACTGGACTAAAACAGCTTACTCTACCTTTAAGGGACCACAGTTCATAAACGTTGGAAACCTGGGATCTAGATGTCTAAAAACAAAAAAATGATCAGTCTCAACCTGACCCTGTAGAGTCCTTTTGGCCTGCAAATCACCAAGTCATAGCTGACGTAGTAACTATGCATCTAAAACCTCAACCTCACTCCTTTTCTGTTGTTTTGGACTGTGGTTGGATGGAAAACAGGGAGCTTTAACAGAAGAAATAACAGTAAAGATAATCCTTTCACAATAGCGTAACATAATGTGAACAATCTGTTGGACAAAATAAAAACCTCATTTAATCAGCCAGGCCTTCTCCCCTCTTGTGTCACCCTCCCTCCCTCCCTCCCTCCCTCTGTCTCTCTATGAACGTCTTTACTGGCCGGTTGAGGCCGCTGATGAATTCTTAAGCAGATCACACTGATAATTGTATTTCATAACTGTCAGTTGTGCGAAGGCTGCCAGTGTGCCCAGGAGCTATTTGTGTCTCAGTATGTCCTCCACAAACCTTCCCTCCCTTCCTCCCCTCCCTCCCTCCCCCCACCTCCCCCTCTCCAACCACTCCGTCCAACCCCCCAATCACCAGGGATGTGCTTACTGTCTCCGGCCCCGAATTACTCAATCAGGAGGACACATTTACGGATGACACCTTTATTACAATTAATCAGGGGAACTTGATTAAGAAAGTTATTCCTCCCCTTCATTGAGACTTACACAAGTGGTGCCGCTGCATATTGTAATTTATGTCCCACTGAGCTCTCGCGCCGCTGATAGACAGAAAAGCCGACAGATTGCCAGCCATACTGAGACACATGTGGACGTTTGTGTGTCTGTGTGTGTGTGTGTGTGTTCGTGTGGGTAGGTGCACATGCATGCAAGCTGCACGCGTGTCTACATATCCAGAAACACATGCACAGCCGCAAACAAACACATTCCCCGATCATTCTGTCATGCACAACTCGGGATTCACAAAGAGTTTAATAAATGACTTTAATTGGCTGTAGAGATGTGCTCGCTAAAGAAGGCTTGAATATTCCATTTCCCTTTCTTCTTGTCTCTTTCCTTCACTCTCCCTCTCTTTAACACACACACACATACACACACACACACTCCTGAATGAAGCCATCTCTTTACCTTTACTCACAGTTCCTGGGTCTGCTGTGGCTAATTAGTTGAGTGGGGTTTTAGGTTTGGTAATTAGGCGGAGGTAGGAGTGATGGGGGCTCAGGGAGTTGGGGAGTTGAGGGGGTCTGACTGACTTGCAGAGAAAGAAACTGGACTGTCTGAATCCTGGCAGCACCAAGCAGCCAACCAGTGTCCCTTAGGCGCCTGGAGGTAGACTACCATCCCACACTATGAGGGTGATGTCTTTGTTATGTGCCACATATTCCGGCGAGGGGGAAAACTGTGGAAAAAGACCATTTAGTGAAAAAAAAAAAAAAAAAAAGGAGAAAGAAGGGAGACCTTTGAGAATTTCACTACCCCGAATGTCAATGTGCAACAACAAAAAGCAGCACTGTGCCGTTGTCTCAGATTGAAATCTGAAATAGATCGGAAGGATACAAGAAAAGTTGTGATTCCTTTTAAAAAATCAGTGATGAAATATTTTCATTCTGAAGGTACTGTATGTAGCCTTTGCTGAGCAGCAGCCACTGTGGCCACGAGCGACAATTACCACGTAACGGTGGCCGCTAAAACAAAGTGAAACAAAAAGCACAAATAGAGAAAAGTCAGAGGAGTGTACACTGTCAGTTAGACAGTAAAATGTATGTTTGGTTTGCTGTTATTACCTAACAGTGGCTTTGCTGCTGGTCACATTAGAACGAACAGCAGCAAAACTCTTCAGTGTGTTGAGCTGAGAAAAGGTAATTCCTATGAGTTCAACTTGTCATTCCTAAAGGGAAGCATGTGTTATTTCTTCTTTCAAAGTAAAATAGTCTCACGGTAAGATAAACCTGCAAAAGTCAGCAATTTTGCAGATGAAAACCAGCACACACACGCACTTTTTTCCTGTATGAAATACTCCAGTCTGTGCAATCAGTTTGATAATATGTGCTATAATCTGTGCACTGTATTTAAGTCATCCGCATTTACATTAAAGGGCAAATTTAGCTTCCGCTCCATTACTTTCATGTACATAACTATTTAAATATAACTCGCGTGTTAATGACCCTTTCTGAGGAGCAGCACTACACCAACTCTTAACTAAAATGAGAGACACACTTAGCATAATTTCTCGAGTGAAGAATTTTTTCCCTCCAGTTTCGCCGTTGCACAAGTCTGCGACCGCTTCTCTGGAAGACCTTCTCCATCTTTAATGTCTTGTTTACGCTCCGCAGTTCCAGGTTGCTTCAATACGATGCCAGTTAGCAGCCTAGGACGGCAACACAATCCAATTAAATAAAGAGTGTTGTCTCTCCAGGTTCCTGTGTTCTCTAATTGGGGCTGTGACTGCTCACTAATCAGCGGAGGTACAGGTAGGCCCTGGAGGACGCTGAGACAAGGCCTCTCCTGTTAATTGAAGAGATGCTAAACCTGGCCTCCTCCTCGCAGTCCGACGTGGATGCACACAGAACGCCGGATTTATCTAAACATCGGTGCGCGTCGTCGCCCTTCTCGCCTTCTGTGTGGCTGGCGTGTAAGAGCTTGCTTTTGCATTGTGACACCTGAGCAAACAGAGGTGTTACAGGGGTGACTGCAATCATTTTAAAGATTGTTTTGCTCTGTTGGTCAACGCATTTCCCAATGCTTCCATTTGCCGCTTTAATTACCGTCTTAAAGCAAAGTCGCTTTGAATTAGTCATCTTTTGCAGCGACTAAATTTTAAATCTCACGGGTCAAAAAATGTTTTCTGGCATGAGAGGCTCCGGATCATGAATGTAACAAAATAAGTGACTGCAAAACTCTGGGTTCATAATTTGTATATCTATAAGCAGCCTGAATCTTTTTTTTTTCCCTATTAAAAGAAAAGAACAATGCCTAACCATGCATACATTTTGCAATAATCAGCTAATAATAAAAAACTGCTAGAAGGATAATTAAAGATAATTGTATGCAAGATAATACAGGCCTGGTTCTTTAAAAAAAAAAAAAAAAGCTATTACGATACCCACATTTCGAAATGACCACCGTCTCTGTGGACAGTGACTTTGACTGGTGTTCTGACTTCCTCTGCTATGGATTCAAAATGGCCTTGGCCTGGTGTGTTTCTGATTTCCTGCACCGTCTGGTGAAGGTAGCAGCTTTGCATGCTGGGGTCACACCTGTAACGTATTTCACACTGGGTTATATTTTGAGTAGCCACCTGGATGAGGAAATAACATGTTCACAGTGCATGAAGACTACAGTCCTCCCTGCCAGGTAGGAACAGGTGTTTGTTTTAGATGACATACAGTACACTAATACAACATGGACTGCTTCAACATACCTCGGGCCCGTCTGACTATGCTGCATAGACTAAAAATCCTGGAAGATTTTGAAAACTTTATGCCCAGTGAGGCTTTTAGAGTCACAATAAAAAAAACATATTGTCTATGGCTCATCTTTTGTGCACTTTTTGGGGTTGTACACACAAATTAGTGCCATGTGACTAAACTTCACATGGTATGTTGTAAGGCTTTGTTTCTCGTTTCAGAAAACTAAATTAAATACAAAAAATGGAAATGAAAAAAAAAAAAAAAAACGTGTCAAAGGGCATTCCACAAAGCATTCACTAGGAGTGATTTTTTTTTTTTTTTACTCACGGTGGGGGAAAATAATGACATTTTCTAGTCCAACTCCTGGTTAGCTGGACTAATTTTTTTTTTTTTATTATGTGCAGCTTCGGGGCATGTGAATGAAAAGATTGATTGTGTGAATGCCGTTTCTGTCAGCCACAAACAGGCAATGAAATGCCAAGCACACCTGGAGCAGCACTCACTTTTTGACAAGCACATACCAATGTAAGCCCCTATTAGAAAAACAATGAAGTCTATCATAAAACATTTATGGTAGATAAAGTGCCCGAGAGTGCCAAAAGCAAGCACATAATGGCAGCAGGTCTAAAATAATTTTAAAGGTGGACAGAAGGTGGGAGCACCAGATTAGGGGACGCCATAAAAATATTTTTATAGATGAAATATAGAGGCTTCTGTTTCTGAGTCTTAATCTGTACAATACTACTATTAATCCAGAGTTATTAGTTCATTTGAAATATTTTATAGTAAATTTATCGATGCAAACTTACAATAACTTAACAATCACGTACATAAAAATCTACTTTTATTGCACAGTTTCCAAAATATGATAGCAGAAAATAAAGTTTGCAAGTATGTAAGTTTATTTATTAAAGCATTATGTATATATTTAGCGTTGCTTTTATTAATTAGGCTGCATTAATCATCTTACAAAAATAGAGAACCTCACCTCTATTAAAACATGTTCAGTGAAGCCATTCAGTCTTCTGACTTAAACTTAACAATCAGCTACATTCAAGTATGATTTCTTTAGTGCATCAACAATGAGTTAAATCACAGCTTACTATTACTAACAGCCGGCGGTGCCACCTCCACCACCACTTTGCCCAGGTTTTTCCCAGCATACATGTAGTCCACAGCACGGAAAACCGACTCCAAGCCTACAAATCTCCCCTCCTGTGCCAAATCCCCACAATCCACCTCACACACTAACTTCCCTTTGGCAAACGCCTTCATCATGCTAGTCAGAGCCTCCCTGTAGTCACTCATGAAGTGGGGCAGGAAGAAACCCCGGACGCTGGCCGACTTCTGGAGCAGCTTGACCGGCAGCGTCCCCCCTCTGAAAGGTGGGATCCCCGACGCGCTCTGGTACCCGGAGATGAAGCCGATCACTATCAGCCGGCCTTTGGTAGCCAAACTGTTCACTGCAAGCTCTAAGACACTGCCTCCAACCGACTCATAGACCACGTCGATGCCTTTTGGGTACTCTTTCTTCAGCGTCTTCGCCAGGTCTTCTGCGGTGTAGTTGATTGGCCTGTCGCAGCCGATGGATTTAAGGAAGCCGGCTTTCTCATTGGATGAGCAGGTCCCAATTACATGGCACCCGGCCTGCTTGGCAAACTGCACGGCAAACTGTCCTGTTCCTCCTGCGGCCGCCGTGACCAGGACAGTCTCACCTTTTGCCAGGTCGCCCAGACGTTTCAAGGCGATGTAGGCCGTGGCTCCGCTGACCAGCAGGGTGAGGAACTCTGGCTTCACCGCAGGGACGGGGACAGTTTCCTTGGCTGGCACCACCGTGTACTCGGCGAACGCACCGCTTCCGAAGTAGGCCACGGTGTCCCCGACGGTGTAATGGGAGCTAGCGGTGAGGCCAAGGCCGACAACCTCGCCGATGCCCTCGAAACCTGCGTCGAAGGGAGGCTTCACGGAGGGGTCGTAACGGCCGGATGAATAATTGATATCAGAGGCGTTGATTCCCACATAGCTGCAACACAAACAGAGAAAAACAAGGAAAAAAATGCTGATTAAATGGTGAGAAAAGCAAAATGCAGACGTTCACTTCAGTAAACAATGGGCTTCATGTGGTCATTAGCTCAAATGCATATTTCTTGAAATCCTGTATGAAGGTCAAGACTTCATCTTCCTCCTCTAGACACATGTGCACACGGCACAAACGCTCCGGTTTGTTTTGGCAATGATTCCCTTTTTCTCTTGAAAAGAACAGTCCTGCACTGACAGGGAAAGGCTTGTATCACAAAACACATTGCATGATGTCATGATTCATTGTCTTCAGAGACACCCACAACAAAACTCCACTTTTTATAAAAAAAAAAATAAAAAAAATCTTAGATAGTTGCCTCTTGCCTCAACACGAAGACGGCTGTTTTCATCTTACTTTTGTAACATGTGGGAAACAAATATGTGAGAAAGGAATGTATAAATAAATCATTTACTGTCTTTTAGAGCGGCAACGCATGCTGTGCCTCATTACTATTACTGTGCATGTCACACATGTACTTTGAGCTGCTAGATAATGCTTCTGTGGTTTATAGATGGGTAACAATGATACAGCAAACCGCCTTGATTTGACTTCTTTATATCCTTCCTCACAGAGACGCATTATCTTATTATCAAAGGGTGCAACTATTTGGATGTACGCAACTAAAAAATACAGAGCCGTTTGAGTTCGAACAAACCGACACAAGCGGATATTTGTGACAAGAAAGTGCGTTTAAAACCTGAACCTTTGAAAAACTTGTGATCACATTCGCAGAGACGACGTTGTGTAAAATGACAATATCAACGACAACATCAGCAGCACAAGCAGATAATATGATAACACTGGTGTGTGATATGGTGTGCCGACAAATGCTACACTTAAAAAAATGTACGCTAAATGAGGTGTTAAGGTTTCAAGGCCTGCAGTTTTGAATTATGTCAAAACTCACAACCAAATGTATGCAAATGATTTCTTTTGGGGTACATTTTTTAGAGGAAAAAAAATCCATAAATAAATAAAACCAAATGGAAAATTTCATGCCAAACTCGTCTGGTGGTTCGGTTGGAAAGAAAAAAAAAATAACATAAAAAGGCACATCACACAATCTGATGCCACCTCTGTCTTTCAAGTGCACGTCATGTATTACATTAATTTGCACACTTGGATCTACTGTGATGATGAAGAAGAGCACTCGGGACTCTTGCCACTGAAACACTTCCTATAGGAAGAAAAAAAGATCTGCTGCAGTCCACATGTAAAACAATCATTTCAAATATGTTTCATTTCACTGCAGACTTGCTCCTTTTCATCCAACACTTCTAGATTTTATCATTCCTAACACTTGCAAGATTAGGTTGCAAATGATGTCCTTAAACAGAATATATTTATTCCCCCTGTTAGTTAAATAACATTCCTCAGCTCTCCTGACTGCCACTGATCCAGACAAGCAGACGGTCAAAGGTCTTAGTTCACAAGCAGCTGATCACTGCCTTACAAGCCCATAAGATCGGACTGCAGCGTGTTCTACACTCGCTCTGCATTTTATTGGCAGTAAATACCACAATAAACCCTGAGATGCATTTGAGCATTTAATATTTAAAACCCCACATCAGGCAAACCTACAGCCAGTGATGTGGTGGTAAATCAAAAAAAAAAAAAAGAAGTGGGGTTGAGATATCACCTCCAGCTGGAATCCAAAAATACAAACCCAGCTATTTAACCAAAAAAAAAAAAGGGAGAATTTACCCACGTCTTCTCCTGTTTAGGTTAGTAAATGTTTAGTTTATCGCCACGTTTCTATTCATCAGGCTGCAGGAGGTGTGTAGATCTGACTTCTGAATACACTACTGGCTGCTCCTGCTGCTGCTGCTGCTGCTGCTGTGAATGATGCTGCAATTCCAGCGCCATGTAACACTGCATCTCTTTCTCCATCATCTCCATCTCTGGATGCCAGTCTGAGCCCCCCCATGACTTTCTGTTTGCAGGTTGGTGACGTAGAGAGACAGGAGGACAGAGAGAGAGAGAGAGAGAGGGAGAGGGAGAGGGTGAGAGAGGGAGGGAGAGAAAGAGGGAGAGAGAGAGAGAGAGATGCCGAGATGGATTGATAGACAAATGCAGAGAGGGCGGAACTTGGAATTACAGTACAGCGCTTATTCCTCACATATTTTGCCATCTTGTGATGATGATGATGATCGCAGGTGCTGGACAAGGGTAAACCGAGGTAAGCTGAGAACCTTTTTACAACTTCTCAACAATATAGTGGTAGGATCGACGTCAAATAACGAGCCACGGATGTTCTCACAACAACACGTTTCGGGGGGGTCACACTATTCCGAAATTTCCAAAGAAAAAACAAAAAACAAAACAACAACAACTTACCGATTTCTGATGAGCAAGTCCGCGTCTCCCGGTGTCGGAACGGCCACGGTTTGCGCGGAAACGGCCTCTCGGAAATTGGGACTGAGCTTGGTTACGACCAGCTTTTTCATGCTGCTCGGTATGGAGGATCCTTTAAAATCCATGAAGTGCGCCGAGTAGGACAGATCTACGATGAAGCGCCTCGCAGCCGCATGAACTCCTGAAAGTGCGTCGGTGCCTCTGCGCCCCCCGCCGATCACCGAGATCGCTCTCCTGCCGTTCCTCCCCAGCAGCGGCAACAGCAACGGGCAGGACATGGCTCCGAAATGTGACAAAGTTCACGGGCAACTTGACGTGTGTTTACGGCAGTAATAAGCCCGACTGCCATTAGCCTGCGCTGTAGGCTCTTCTCCCTCCTCTGCGCGGCGGTGCAGGCCGGGGCCGGGCGCAGCGGAGCCGGACGCTTTTTCAAAAAAAACACACGATATGTAAAAAAGCGAAAAACACGACGTTTGGTAAGTGAAAAACAAACAAGCGCGGATTTTTTTTAAAGCATTAAAACGTTGCACTGGTGCAGCCTGGTTTAAAAAAAAAAAAAAAAAAAGAAGCACAGCAGCGCCCCAGACTTGTCGTCGGAGTCCCTCCCCTTCCCGGACACAACACTCACTTCCTAGTAAGGTGAAACAAATCAATCCTCATCTCCTAACATATCCTCAACCGTTTTACTCCCACGAAAACAACACCAACCCTCCGGATCTTTTTTTTTTTCTTCTCTTCCCTCTAACATCTACAAATACAATCCACAAGGCTGCAAATGCGTAAATTCGCCTTTTTTTGTGTGGGGGAAAAAAATAGATATTTGGTGTGAGCTGTTGCGGAGACGTGTTTGTTCCCACACATACACCTGTAACCGAAAGTCTGCGATTTGAGAAAGTGTGTGCATTGCGTTTTGCTTATGTGTTGTCATTTTGTTGTCATTTGATTGTCATTTTTTCTGCAAAATCACGCACCGCTGGACCTTATTGGACTGTTGTCCCACCCTCAGTGGGAGTCGGGACTCCAACTCGTGCCTTGTCACCGCTATAGGAAGCTAAATATGAAAGCCAAGTAACAGCCTTAAAGCTGAACTTGTCTTGTACTTGTTGTAGTTGGCGACACATGTGCGTATAAGTTTGGATTTAGTTGATCTCCCGGTAAGTTCCGAGAGGATTCTGTCCCCTTTTTGTCGGAGGTTTGGGATTTTTTAAAGCAAAGGGACAAGGAGAGAGAGAGAGAGAGAGAGGGAGAGAGAGAGAGAGAGAGGGGGGAGAAAACAAGACAATTAAAAAGATTGACAGGTAGGCTCCTCTGTCAGGGGTGACGCTTGTGGAGAGGGGAGGAGTAAAAATGTAGCAGGAAAAGCCACTCGATGCGTCTGTCTATCAGTTGAGACTGTCTGAAACAGCTTCTGGATCCACCGCGTTTCCATTTTTTCTTTTTTGAGAGACCTCGGATCAGTCCCTGGAGTTTTCCCCCCTGTATTTTTTTTCTTTCTTTCTTCTTCTTTTTTTTTTTTTTTCTAAAGAGACAAATATTTAGTCCATGTCGATCTGATCTGTTGTTTGGCGAAGCTTGGATGCGCCTGCGTCTTGTTTGTTTCCCCTCTCTCTCAAGTGATCTCCTCTCCACCGCATCAACCACCCCTCTTTCCCAAAAAAAAAAAAAAAAAAAACACGACTCTGTCCAAAGATGCGATGAGATGAGCGGTGGAAATCAGTCTCACGACTCCTAAAACGTAAGTAAGAGAGAAAAGCCTGCGCGTCCCATTTATTTTTTTATTTTTTATTTTTTTTCAATGGGAGAGAAAGAGGGCAGGAGGGGAGGGAGGAAAAAAAAGTCTCCGCCGGACTGGTGAGGCTGGATCCGGGCTGAGGTGGCGTGGTGGTGACGGGATTGACATTAACTCATCTAATGCCTGTCTATCTGTTCTCTCCTGTCCCCCTCTTCTCTCTTTCAGGTCTCTGGCAACAGAAGAGAAGGGAACGCAAGGATACATTACTTATCAGAGGTGTGTGGTGCGCTCACACGGGACTTATTTGTTTGGTTACCGCCAGAAATTATTTATTTTTTAGTTTTGGCGTGCGTAAAAGGCGCAACAAACTATCTTCCCCCTCCAAAACAGCACTGGAGATTAGGGGGGGATTTTTTTTTTTTCCAGAGGGAGTGAACTGAAAACTTGGGTTTCAAGGTGCTGGTTTAGCCTCTGCTTCTTCTTCTTTTTTAAAAACCCTGCCATGAGAGAGATGAAGGAAGATGATTTTTAATGGACATGGAGGTGTCTGGAGCCGGCCGAGTCCCTTCGTAATTTTTGCTTTCGCTGAAGCCGATCCAGCTATTAAACCCAAAAAACAGCATCCAGTTTGAAAAAGAAGCGTGACATTTTTCAGCTCCGAGATCCCACCACCCTGCCCCGAAAACGGGATGATTTTTCCGAACTGATAGACTTGATTTGTCTGTAATTCCTGCATGAGAAGCACCGTGGAACGTGACGGTCACTATGCCGAGGAGAAAGCAGCAAGAGCCGCGGCGATCAGCAGGTATAACCCGCCCCTCCATTCTCACCATTCCCCATCACAGTAACCAAGTAGTAGTTTTTAATTTACATTTTCCAAGTGCCAAAATGAAAGTATCTCCTTCCTCATCACAAATCCTCACTTTGTGCGGCATGCTGCGATTTATTTTGAACAACTCTGCTTCAATTATTTTTGTTGTGTTATCAACTCAGCGAGCAAACTCACCCCTGACACACAGTTATGTTTTAAAATGTATCTAATTGCGCAAATGACGCACGTATCTGCGCAATGCCACTTTTAGTTTTTTCCTCCTTTTTTTTGGTAATATCCTCCTTTGCCAGGAAAGTTCTATTAAGAATGGTGAGATAAACTAAATGGCATGTTATGGGGGATAAAAGGGAGTTTTTGAGGTTCAAGAGTGAGTAATGATGAATAATTGACTGGGAAAGAAGGGGGGAGAAAACTGGTGAGAGCCGGTTTTTTCCCTTTCTTTCTATTTTATTAGAGGATTGCCATCCTTGATTTGATGCGTGATTGATCGCCTGTCATGTGGCAGTCTTTGATCTATTCATCCCTGATAAACATCAATAAATCCTTCCATGAAGACAAGCATGCTTCTGGTAAGGTTTATCCACTCAAACACACAAACCCTCCTGTTGTTTCAACCAGGAGCTGGAAAGCAAAAAAAAAAAAAAAAAAGCAACAACAACAAAAAAAAGTTGTGAATTAAGATGGAAATTCACCTCATTTATTCTGATGTGCATGTACTAACAGCAGATGAAAGGGACAGCGTGTATGTTGAATGGATCTTAGGATAAAATCAACCCAAACACTCCTTTTAAAAAAATAATCAGGTGTTTGAATCCTCTTGTAATCCTTTTCAAAAAAATTTTTTTGCTCTTAGAGAAGTTTTTTTTTTTTGCTTGTTCCCATCCAAATTCATCCCACATTCTCTGTAGGAATCAGTCCAGTATTGAAATCAATATCCAGTGCTGGAGGGGAGCATGATATTTGCAATGTGACCAACTGATAAAACCAGGTGTTGGCAGAGGACCGACAAGGTTGACTTCTAGTGGTTTGGATTTGGACTCCCCCTTTTTCCTCTCGTCTCCCTGCAGCCTTTAAACAAATGTAAATGAGTGACAGGGGTTTCTACCTCTGTGCTAATGAGGCCGAGCCTTTGAAGTTAGGCATTAACAACTGGAGTGAACAAAAGACAGTTACAGAATTTTAAAGAGATTTTGAAATATGAGGTGCAAAGCGGGTCGAACAGGAGGTTCCAGCCGACGAAGACTTTGAACTCAGCAGGTTTTTTATCATTTTAAGCAGGGGAGCTGGTGGTGATGGTGGTGGTGGTGGTGGTGATGAGGACGAGGAGGAGGAGGATTAGTGTAGGACGGAGAACATTCAACCGGTGCTCGCTGTTAACTTCTCTCTTTCTCCTTTTGCCTTTCTAGCAAAAAGCAGTGTGCACATGATTTCTGGCCCACACTCTGAAAGCGAGGATTCAGATTTAGATATCGAGCCTCACTGTACTTTTCTGACTGACTCTGTGTGTGTGTGTGTGTGTGTGTGTGTGTGTGTGTGTGTGTGTGTGTGAGTGAGAGTGAAAGAGTTGCTGCTGTTGTTTTGGCGAAATATCCCTCTGGAAAAGGTCGGCCACGATGGGAGCGCAGTGACTCCCCTTAGGTTTCTGCATGTAGATGGAGGCATGAAAAACATGACATCGGTGTGACCCCTCCCTTTCCCTCCCCTCCCTCACCACACACACACACACACACACACACACAAACCATTGATCCATTACACTGTCCACTGAGTGCCATGCTCATCATGACTTGTAATGGTCAATCGCAGCTTGGCAAACGAGATGTTTTCCATTCTTCCATGAACATGACGGTCGGTCAGAGATAACGCGCTCCACTCCACGCTGCCACCAGCAAATAAATAACACATAATCACACACACACACACACTCACACTCACACTCACACACACACACTGGGCTAGCCTGATGCTCCACTGGGAGCTGGTACTGACCTGTGGCTCCCTCCCTGTGCTGCTGTTCAAAGAGGAAATTGCTCATACTGGGACTGAGCATGGAAATCAAAACTTAGATAATTAAAATAACAGACTTGCCTGGACAGGTTTCTTTTTATTTCCCACCTTGCACCTCTTTTTTTTTTTGAGGATATTATTTAGTGTATTGTGTTTTATTTTAGGGTTTTCAAGGCCAAAGCTGGCACAAGAATGTCCTGCAACGCCAGGATTAGCGACAATTGTAATTGTGAATCAGTCGTGCAAATTTTACAGTTGAATTTCTTACAATGTAAACTCCTCAGGCAGAAAGCACAATTTTTGAATTGCTTGTCCTCTCCGAATTTAAAAAATGCATTCACGTATTTATTTAGTTTCTTTTAAATATTGCAGTTCCCAAGACAAATGTGCTTTTGAAACGATAATTATTTTTTCAAATCAGTCATTGAACATTTCTGCAGTATTATTTGAGGTATTATTTTCAAGTGTGTGTGCGTGTGTGTGTGTGTCTGTGGTGTTCAGATGACACATAAAACGAGAGCGAATTTACTGCAGATGAAACAAACGCAGCCCTCATTACATAATTGTCTTTTTAATCGTTTATATCAGGTTATTCATGTATAGGAATCCAACAGGAAGGGGCCGAGCTGGAAAGAAACTTTGTGCATCAGCAAGTTTGTGGATGTTTCTACATTATGTATTTGCACACAGATGCTCCTGTGAGACTTGCAGTCTCACTTCATCACTAGATGACTTGATTTAAAGTTGATGAGGACAGGAGAGAAGGTAGAAACAAGTGAAAAAACGACAGAAAGGAAGTGGTGCCGCCTTTTATCCAAAGTAGGCATGGGTAGACTAACAGGAGGAGGAAGAGCAGATAAGATAGTCACGCTTATTTCTGCGGAGTGCGATGGGTAATTATAAGAAAGACGATGTGTGTGTGTGTGTGTGTGTGTGTGTGTGTGTGTAGGGGAAGGAGTGGTGGTGGTGGTGGGGG